GGGGGCTACCCGAAAAAATCGACCTATATTTATTATTTATAGTGGAGAGATTTGCTTGATACCTACTAAGAACTCGACGTACTAAATTACAGTCAATTCGGTCGAAAAATACGATCAGAACCCCCCAAAATACCACAATTTGGGGGTACCGTTATATGGGGACTACCAGAAAAACTGAACCTATATTTATAATTTTTAGTGGCGTTATTTGGTACCCAAAAAGAACAGTTATAAAACGAGCCCAAGAACCAAATAGGTTAAAATACCGAAAATTGGGGGTACCCTTATATGAGGACTATCCGAAAAAATGGATCTATATTTATAATTTTTAGTAGGGAGATTTGCTACCCAATAAGAACTCAAAGTACCAAATTTCAGGGAATTCGGTCAAAAAATGCGATCAAAACCCCCAAAATACCGCAAAATTGGGGGTACCCTTATATGGGGACTATCCAGAAAAATTTACCTATATGGGAGCTATATCTAAATCTGAACCGATTTCCTCCAATAGGGTTCGTCCTTGGGCCAATTAAGTGTCCTGTGCCAAATTTCATCCAAATCGGATCATAAATGCGACCTGTACTTTGTTAACAAAAATACATGGACGGACGGACAGACGGACGTGCATAAATCGACTCAGAAAGTGATTCTATGCTTATTCTCAAATGGAATCATGTGTCTATCTCGTTTCATCTTGTCTGTTACAAACATATGCACAAATACATAATACCATGTACCACAGTGTGGTCAAGGGTATAAAAATTATGATACAGATATATTCTCTTTGGTTGTGATGTTCAACTATCAGATAATAAACCCCATTTTCTGTTCACTCTATCCTTCCCGCTCTAAAACAAATTTCTATCAAACCAAAATATCTCCGTCATAACTTCAAAAACGTCTTCCCATCATAATACAATATCTAAGACCACCCACAGTCACATACCAGATAAGTATGTTTGTACGTATGTATGTATTTCGCCAGTAAATATGATTCATTCTTGACAAATGCTTATCCCGATGCAGTATCCACGGCCTTTTCACATGAAAATTAAATTATACTGCTCTACGGTAAGGATATGAAGCAAAAATGATGCAGCATCGATGCTGACGTTGCTTATGTAGGTGGATGTCGTTGTTGTTGTTATTGCTGTTGGTGATAATGAGGATGTCACATTTTAGATTGTCACATACACACGCATATATGTACATGTACAAGTGCAAAGTTCAAATTCAATTAAATTAATCGATCTTCCCAAAAATTCATTATATACTTGGATAGGAAGAGATATGTGATGAGAGAAATTTGTGTGAATGTGTGTGTGCATGTTTGATTTAAAAGTTTCTTAAAGTTGGTATAGAGTCTATACCTGTGGTGGTCCTATGGCACATGAGAGATGCATTCATTTACCAAAGAACAATGATGAACATAGAAAAGCCACATTAATGTCATTAATAACTTTGACAGGAGTAATACTAGTAGCAATGTACTTGAAGTGGTGGTGATGGTAGGTTATCATAATATTCTGCACGAATTGAAGTGTAGACTTGGCGAGAGATAATGAAAAGCGAAGTATTGTGGATTAGGAAAGAGCATTGAAAAGAAAGGTGGCATATATGTAGAGAAGGTATTATATGGCAGAAAGTTAAAGTTGTCGGGAGATATATGCTAGAAGCTGTAATGTACTGCCTTAATGCTTTCTAATATTTTGATATTTTAAACAACGAGTATTGATTTTTTTATTCTATATATTACTTACTAATTATTATTTATTCCCGCAACACTTCACCGTTGCATTTGCAAGACTCAATTCTTATTTACAGTAATTCTAAGTCTATATGTTGAAATCCCGACAAAAGTGGCTGTAATTTGTGTATTAAGGGAAACACCCCCAAAAAACAAAATGGTGAACCTTTGAAAAAATATTTTTGGAAAATCGCCAATTTTTTTACCAAAAACTAAGTTAAAAAATAAGGAAGATCTTCACCGATTGACTTTATCCTAGTTCATACGAGAGCTATACACTCCCAGAGAAACGTTGCAAAATTTGGAACCGATTGGATTATTAGTTTTTGAGTTATCGTGCCCGCCATTCGCAAAAAAATTTTTAGAGAAAAACGCGTTTAAAGTTTGAGAAGCCCTTCAGCGGTCACTTGATGCTGACACAATAAATCGGATATATCTTCAAGAGTTCTTGAAATGTTGTAGGGACATTCTTTAATCAGTGTAGGTTCGAATTTTGACCCCGAGAATGGGGGGGTCCCCTTAAGTTCTTCTTAGGTATTAGGTAGCAAATCGTTCTACCATAAATTATCAATATTGGTCCAGTTTTTAGTCCTCCCAAATAGTCCTGACAAATGTTCTTAATAAAAATTATAGATATCAGCCTATCATTAGGTAAAGCTCGAACTGGCTGTGGTTCGATATTTAAAACTTTAATTTTAGTAAATCTCTCAACTAAAAATCGTTATTGGACCATAATCTATTATAGTCCCCATATAATAATACCCCTAACTATTGTTGTTTTGAGAATTTCCGACATGTTTTTTCGCCGAATTGGGTCTAATAAAATAGTTTGATTTCTCATAATGTTGTTATGTTATGTTCGGTCATTTTCTGTTCAAGATCTTAGACCAATTTTCTTATCTGAGAATCAAGATCGATTTAAGATATTTTAAATGTATATTTCGAACTTAAGTTTCTATTGTATTACTCACTTAGCTGGCTCCAGACAGAACATTTAAGCTAACATGAAGCTAAAACCGGTCACACAATAGTCTGTCAGCTGGTGTGAACCCTCGTTCGGTTTTGAAGGGCTCCGAGAGATTATTTCCAATTAATTAATTTGAGGCGGATTGAAAATCTGTTCTATGGTGGATTTGCCAGGTCTGAAAGCGCATTGGATGGTCCAATAATGTCCTTGACCATTGGTTTCAGTCGTTCAGTCGATGGGAAGGAGACTTATTCCTCTATAGTTGGCACATATCGTCTACTTTTTGCGCACGGGATGCAGGGTGCTGAGGTTGCAATCAGTCGGTTTCCATCATCTAGCCAAATTTAATGCATGCTCCTAAGCAGCACCTGACCACTGGTCTTGAATAGTTTGGCCGGTTATCCATCAGCACCTATTCTGACCTCATCTTGGCAAGGTTGTATACACTCTACACCGTAATCTTTTATTGGTTCTGGAGTAACTTCTTTACCACCACTATTTGATAGCAGGAGCTTTGCAAAATGCTCCTTCCAGATCCTCAGTACGCTATTTGCATCTGCCACAAGGTTTCCATCTTCATTTCTACAGGAGGATGTACCTGCACCAAAGCCTTCGGTGCTAAAATTTTCGAACTCCATTTGCTCCCGCTCACGTTTCTCTTATTCATTCTTGTGAAAATACGTTTATCCTCTCTTTTATCTCCCAATAATTCTCTTTCGCATTACGTGCTGCTATTGTTTACAGGATTGCCCTATACGCTGCGTTTTTGACATCAGTAGCATTACGACACTCCTGATCGTACCATGGGTTTCTTAATCTTTTATACCCAAGTGTTGCTTTTACTGCAGTTTGTAGGGAGTAGGTAATTCTTTGCCATTGTGCTTCTATATTCATATCGGATCAAGAATGGGGGTAAGTTGAGCGGAGTAGGCTTCTGCTATCTGTTCTGTTTACAGCTTTTCGACGTCGAGTTTGCCTGTTGTGTTAGATCGCACATTGCTGTTACATTAAGCCCAGTGCGAACATTGGTTGCTAAAACGTAGTGATACGAATCGATATTCGCTCCTCGGATCGATCAAACGTCTAAAACACTGGATAAATGTCTTCCGTCTGTCACAATATGATCAGGTGATAGCCAGATGGCCTTGTGTATGTCGAGATGCTTGAATCTGGGTCTGCTAACTACCATGTTTTTTGCATGCCGCAGTCGCACGTTTCTTCATGGAGGCTGAATTTTCCGACGATGGGGCCAAATATATTGTCCCTTCCGATGTTTGCATTAAAATCTCCTAGCAGAATTTTAATGTCATGGCCAGGGCAGCGGTAATATGCTCTTTCTAGGCGCTCGTAAAATATATATTTGGTCTGATCATCTTTGTCTTCGGATGTAGAAGAACTTCGCTTTTATATTGATTATGGAGATGAGGTATTTTGTTCTCCTATTAACCATAAATCTGCAGCCAAATTTATCTCTCTTTCAATGACAGCTATAATAAAGTGCGTAAGAATCTGATTTACTTACGCCTGTCCCTTTCCATCGCATTTACTGCAAGGCCATAATATCGGTTTTGTACTACTTGAGTACATCCGCCAAAGCGTAAGCTGCGCCAGTTCTGTACAGCGTGCGCACATTCCAAGTGTAGGTTCGCAGATCGTGGTCCTTTTTACGTTTGCGGGTGCCGTTAAAATTATGGGGGTTTGGTTCGTTGGTTTTTCATAGTAGGAAAAGTTTTTCGAGTGTGGGCAACTAACTCGATGCCTCAACCCATTTTTTATAGTTCTTATGGGTGAACTCGTGGCACATATCAGCTCACTATTTCAACGGGAGATAAAAGTAGCTACCCCAGGGCCTATGCTCAAATGATTGTAGGTTGAAAACATGTGATTTGGCATTCCAAATTCTTGGTGAATACAAAATGTTTTTCCAGACAATTTGCAAACTAGGTATATGTTTTTGCATAGCTCCCATGCTATTTGTTGAAGATCCCAGAGCATAAATTACCCACTAGCAGACACTTTTCAATTAGATAGTCTCCTTATTCTTTTTGAAAACACACCACATGGTGTAGGAAAGAAAAAGTTCGATCCAACCGAACATAACGACTTTTTTCTCAATTCTCATTTTTTCCAGCATTATTTTTGTTGGGGTATGACAATTTCACATCGGTCGGACTTATATAATAATTTTGAAAAATATATAACATCTAAACCCATATTCTATATATTTATATTAAATTTTTTTCCTGATACTAAAATATTGCTTCTTTATCATTTCTTTACTTTCAGGTCCTGAAGGCTGTAATCTCTTTATATACCATTTGCCACAGGAATTCACTGACACCGATTTGGCATCGACTTTTCTGCCCTTTGGCAATGTCATTTCCGCCAAAGTTTTCATTGACAAGCAGACAAACTTATCCAAGTGCTTTGGTTTTGTATCATTTGACAATCCCGAATCGGCGCAGGTAGCCATACGAGCAATGAATGGATTTCAGGTGGGCACCAAACGCTTAAAAGTTCAATTGAAAAAGCCCAAAGATGCTTCAAAGCCGTACTAAAGAAAGCAAACAAAAAAAGAGAAAATATAAAAAGTAAAATGGCCAAGGAAAAAATATAAAAAAGGAAATTTTGCTGAAGAGGAGAAAAAACCAAGGAGAGGATAACAAAAGGATAATGTTGATGGATCAGTGAATGGAGTTAAACAGGTGTTTAATTTTTGAATCATTTAACCAAAAGAAAGCAATGCAGCAAATATCTTAGAAAACAAACCAACATTGAAAATGAAAATTTTATTAAAGTAAAAATCTTTATCCTGTTTACTACAAGGATAACAAGGAGGTAAACATTGAGAGCTTAATTTTCTCTTTCTCCCTTTAAGTTTTGCTTATGGCCAAGATTTGAAAAAAAAACAACAAAAAACAATCACAACAACAGTAATAAGACAATTATGTTTTTGTTGGTTCTTCCTTTCATCACCACCTATACCACCACATATACACACACACATACATATACATTTGTAAGTAACTATACGTTAATTAATCACAAAAGGAAGAACCTCTCTTTTTTTAATATTTGTATAACGTTTTGAATTTGAATATTTTTTATGTTTTATGAATTTGAAGAGTTTTATTGAAAAAATATTAGTATGTAGTAGTTTTATAAGTAGTAGAGCTTTTAAAGCTTTCTTTGTTTCATATTTAAAAAAACACAGCTTCAAAAGCCTTTCTTAACGTGAACACGAAAAACAAGCAAGTCTTAGTTTAAGTTTTTTTTACGTTTTGATTGTTATTTAATTTTGAATTTATATCCCTGGATCGGAAAGTGTTATAAGGCCCAGCCCCAAATTTTTTTGTAATTCTTTTAAGTTCAAAACAATTTGTTTTATTTTTATATTTTTAAGTTTAATTTTTTTAATGGAGCACAAAAGCACAAAAAATAACCTAAAAAAATATGTTTGAAATTTTCGTTAAGTGTGTAACTAGAGAATTGTGTTATACTGTATGAAACTGTTATACATATGATGTATTTTAAGTCGAAAATATACACTAAAGGTGTATAAAATATTTATGGTAAATTTATAAAAAAAATAACTTTTGTAAAATTGAATTTCTTATCTATGTTCTAATGTTGCCATAAGTGTTTTTTCCTCTTCATCATCTCTTTTTTTATAGTTAAGTGAAATTGAATTTAATAAATGTTAAATTGTGAAATGAAATCGAACGACCAAAAAACAAAAAACAAATGAATTCTCCAAAGTCGAATTTAATATTTAAATCAAAAACTTTTATTGCTCCTTGTTTAAAATCTTTTTTTTTATTATTTTTGTAAATCCATTTAAAAAAATATAAATCTGCTTGTTTTTTCTGTTACTTCTTTAAATATATTTTTTTATTTAACACAAATCTTTGCTAAGTCACATATGCTTTGATGTTCTTTTTTTATTAAATAATCTTTAAAGAAACGCACACACACATACAAACATATATTTTTAATTGTTTAATGCTCTTTTTTCTGGATTTTGTTATTTATATATATGTAAGCAAAAAACACATACACACATAGCACTGAATTACCACACATCACACTTACATAGTTTTCTTTCTTAATTGTATTGTTCATATATATCTATCTCTCTATATATATCGTTATATATATTTACTTACTATTTGCTGAAATATTTAAATAAAGCTTTGTTTTTTGTTCTTCATCTATATAAAAAATACTTTTTTTAATTTGTGTTTTATTTATTGTTTCTTTTTTTTAATTTACAAAAAATATATTCTTAGAACTAAAAATTTAAACCAGTAAGAAAAGTAGTAAAATCGGACTGAGCCGACTATATGATTGGGTATATTCTACATATGTATCCTAATAGACGTCGCCTTCGAAGGCATGAAATTGACATGAAATTAAACGACGTTAAATATGTGATCTTTATCTATATGTGAACCGACTAACATCAATCCGTACATATATTCTGAAACCTATGCTAAGTTTCATTTCATTCGGGCAGATTTAGAGTCGTTTGCGTACAATAGGACAAATTTATGTAAATCGATTTAAAGGACACTTGATATACGCTATTCGGTCTCCGCACTGTTCAAAATTTAATCTCAATCAAGCACCCGTTCGAAATATATATGGAAGCTATGTCTGCATCTGCACCAATTTTAACAAAACGTAATAACGTCATTATACCCTACACAACTATGTTGTCAGGGTATTATAGCTTTGTGCAGGCCCAAAAGTTTGTAACACCGCGAAATATTGGTCCTAGACCCACCTTTAAGTACACCGATCGTCATATCTCGACTAGCTGAGTCGATATAGACATGTGTGTCCGTCCGTCCGTCTGTCCATATAATTTGTAAACACGATACAGGCCACAGTTATGGACCAATCTTCACGAAATTTGCTTGTAGGATGGGTTCTGGCCAATGAAGACCCCTATTGTTCTTGGGAAAGATCGGTTAATATTTAGGGGATGAAATGGTTCAAATACTAAATTTTTGTCGGGTTTTCTGGTCGCTCCAGAGACCGCAATAATGGCCCGAACATCGTGAAATTTTGCATGGAGAAGAGGATCGGGCCAAAGAATAAGCATGCCTGTTTTGATAAAGATCGGTCAATATTTAGCGGGTCAAATGGACACTGACTTTTGTGTGAAAAATTACAACAGTTGAATTCTATAGCGTATATATTTACCCCTGAAGGACATAGACCCGAGAAGTTGATATTATATCCAAGAAGAGTGGTTGACCTTTAAATTGATACCAATTATATTGTTGTATGTGCTCGGTGTGGGAGTTACACCTAAATATTTACAGGTATCTCAGTATTCGTATAGTACCTAGTAACCCATTATGACTCTAGAGAGCGAAACTATAGCGCTGATCGCTTTGAAATGTTCCATGAGGTTCCAGTTATGGTCAAGGACAACGCCTATAATTTTCGGTGATGATCAGATAATAATGTTGGAATGAAGTGGACCGAAAACTTAATTTTCTTGTGTTATTTTCGAGTCGATCTATAGACCACAAATGAAAGCCGAACATCACAACACAGCCCACGGTGAAGGGAATCTGGTCAATAGCTGTACTGATTACTCGTAATATTCGGAAAATATGTCAGTGTGAAGAAGAGGAGCTGTTTACCTCTAATCGGGCAAGAGGGTGCAAATATCACGAAATATTGCCCAGGCTCGGGTTAAACATCCACAGAA